AATTTATTGATTTCAGCCAAATCATTCGACAAATTGTTTGTGTCGAAAAATTGTTTGTCAATTCCCACAACCACTGGTTCTTCGTTACCGGAATTGACCCGGATTTTATCCGGCCAAGGGCTGTTATTTCGCCGATCTAACCCTGTTTGGATCGGTAAGTGTTAGTTTAAGTTTGTCGTCAATAGAGCAACACCTAGCAGCACCGTATCTTCTTGACACGTGCTGGCATCGAGTCCAACCCGGGCCGCAAAGAATTCCTTTGCTGCATATGCGCTAAAAGGCTCCATCCAAATTCCACCTCGATTAGGTGCAATACATGCAATGGATGGAGCCATCTTAAGGCCATACTGCCAACGCAATACTGCGACACCAGCCTCAACGGCTGTGCAATCTGCACCATGTTCCCGCACTGCGCCGCCACTCCAGTCGCCAAACGCGACTCTTAAAATTCAACTGCAACGGACTCCAGAGTAAGACCGAGGAGATAGTTGCATTCATTAGCCGGGAATGCGCATCGATAACTGCGGTCCAAAAAACCGAGTTAAGCTGCCGCTCAGATCTTCTGAGTTGTGTAGGTTTCAACGTTTTGCGTAAGGATCGCGAGCAAGATAATGGTGTAGGCCTAGCCTTCATACTGCACAACACCGTGCAATATCGTTTAATTGATGATGACATCGATCGCATGGACACTGCCCTTGAATGTCAGGGTATAGCTGTCCGGTCAGGCGATGTCGAGCTCGAGATATTCAATATATACATCGCCCCAGTTACATGTTGCCCAACAGGATATCACCCGAACATAGGTGTGCTGCTTCGTGGTGAAAATCGCTTGGTGCTAGGTGACTTTAAGGCGCACCACGATCTTTGGCACTCCTGCCTGTCAAATGATCGTAGGGGGATGGATCTGCCGGAACAGATAAACGATTCGACATTCTTCACAATGAATGACGAAGCCCGCACCAGAATTATGGGCACCTGTAATAGCTCGCCAGATATTACCATCGCTAGCGGTGGTCTGATAAATAGTATAACCTGGCGACCTATGCTAACTCTCGCATTAGACCATCTGCCCATAAATATCTCGATCGAGAAACCTCCTGACTTTATTTCTGTGGACAACCGCATTTATGTTAACTTTAACAAAGCTAACTGGGTCGGTTTTACAGAATTTACTGAGAGCACCTTCAACGCACTACCCATTCCTACGGACGTCATCGTTGGCGAGCGTCAATTCGGCAAGGTGATCGCTGCTGCTACTGCTCGCTTCATACCGGCTGGAAGAATCGCGGAACTCCGCCCTAATTTCCCAGCCGAAGCAGCTGTACTAGCAAACGAGCGCGACACTTTACGCCATGCCGATCCCTGTGATCCCCGAATAAGGGATCTCAATTTGGAGATTCGGCAAATGGTAAATCATCATAAGCGGACAAAATGGATAGAGCACCTGAAGTCCTGCAACTTCTCCACCGGTGTGAATAAGCTTTGGACTACTGTCAAGGCCCTGTCAAATCCGAGAAGACATGACGATCGGGTTGAAATTCAATTCGATGGCCATGCCTCCTCGGACCCGAAGAAGTGCGCGAGCTATTTCAGCCGACAATTTACACTGCACCCTTCGACTGACAAGATAGGACACGCAGAAGAAGAAGCTACAGACCTGTCAGAACACTGCACTCCAAACTATCACGGGATGCCTCTTGATGTCTCCAATCGAACACCTACATAGTGAGGCCCGTATGCTTCCGGTTAAGGAACACAACGAACTCCTCTCCAAGCAGTTTCTACTGGGGTGTTTTCGTACAAACAACCCTTGTAGTCGCCTGACTATAGCGGAGCCGCCTCCTAGGAACATCAAGAGGTCTTGCCTTGACTACGTCGACGACATTAGACAGTACGCCGACCGGACTTCGGACGCAACGAACTTCAGACAGGCACTGACCGCCATTCACAGTGGAGCCATCAACACCTTCACAGACTCCCTTTCAGTGAATGGCGTAATAGGAGTCAAACCACTACCCATAGCAGACATAGAGCTCGAGTTGCCTCGCGAAACCAGAGTGACCCTCGCGCAACTTCGTTCTAGATACTGTAGCAGGTTAAACTCCTACTTATCCAGAATAGACCCCGACATACTAAACACATGTTCTGCGTGCAATGAGTCTCCGCATGACACTAACCACCTCTTTGCATGCCCAACAAACCCCACCCATCTAACACCCTTCTCCCTATGGTCCGACCCCGTCGAAACAGCTCGTTTCCTGGGCCTCCCGTTAGATGACCTCGACGACAACGAAACTGGAATTTATCACCCAAACGGGGACTAGGTAACCGTTACAACAAGAACAACAACTGACAAGGCCAAACGACGTGTTACCCGACGGCTGCGCAAAATGCCAAAAGACTGCGCACCACTCACTTTCACCGATGGGGAGGTTCAGAGTGTCATCAAAAAGGCGAAATCGTCTAAATCTATTGGCCCTGACGGAATAAGCATGCTGATGCTAAAACACCGAGGCCCAACGGGAGTAAATTATCTCACCAAGGTCCTCAACCTGTCGATATCCACTCTTCAAATACCCGATGTGTGGAAAGTCGGAAGAGTGGTCCCACTACTGAAACCTGGGAAACCCGCCAACAAAGGGGAGTCTTATCTCCCGATAATTCTCCTTTCTCCAGTAGTGAAGACACTTGAGGCCTTGTTACTCCCGTCATTCACTCACCACCTGAGCCTAGCAGATCATCAGCATGGCTTCCGAAAAGTGCACAGTACCACCACAACACTTAGCGTCATAAACGCCCAGATAGTTCATGGCCTGAACCAGAAGCCACCCTGCGAGAGGACGATCCTCGTAGCGTTGGACTTGTGAAAAGCTTTTGACACAGTCAATCACACAACGCTACTTGAGGACCTAGAACAATCAATGCTCCCTCCAGGGCTGAAGCGGTAGACTATGAACTACCTGAGTGGTCGGCATTCATCCGTACTGTTTCGAGGTCAAAACTCCAAACTTAGGAAAATTAAACAGGGGGTTCCGCAGGGCGGTGTCCTCTCCCCGCTACTGTTTAATTTCTATATTTCAAAACTCCCCCAGCCACCAGCGGGAATTTCAATGACCTCGTACGCAGATGACTGTACGATATTGACGTCGGGAAATGGAATCGATGGCATGTGTTCAAAAGTAAACAGCTACCTCTCCGATCTTTCTCGCTTCTTCTCTGCAAGGAACCTAACACTCTCTCCCACTAAATCCACAGCGACTATCTTCACAAATTGGACGAAGGAGCACAGACTGGACCTGAACATTTCAGTCAATGGCACAAAAATTCCGACAGTCAATAACCCTAAAATTTTAGGCGTCACTTTGGACAGTCTGTGCTCTTTCACTCCTCCCACGACCGCGATAACTGCCAAAGTACAGAGCCGCAACAAAATCCTCAAGTCGCTTGCCGGCAGCTCTTGGGGAAAAGACAAAGAAACGTTATTGGCAACATACAAAGCAATCGGCCGGCCGGTCCTAAATCACGCAGCCCAAATATGGTTGCCTGGATGCAGTGACACGCAGAAGAAGAAGCTTCAGACCTGTCAGAACACTGCACTCCGGACTATCACGGGATGCCTCTTGATGTCTCCAATAGAACATCTACATAGTGAGGCCCGTATGCTTCCGGTTAAGGAACACAACGAACTCCTCTCCAAGCAGTTTCTACTGGGGTGTTTTCGTAGAAACCACCTCTGTAGTTGCCTGCCTGTAGCGGAGCCGCCTCCTAGGAACATCAAGAGGTCTTTCCTTGATTACGTCGACGACATTAGACAGTACGCCGACCGTACTTTGAACTTCAGACAGGCACTGACCGCCATTCACAGTGGAGCCATTAACACCTTCACAGACTCCCTCTTAGTGAATGGCGTAATAGGAGTCAAACCACCACCCATAGCAGACGTAGAGCTCGAGTTGCCTCGCGAAACCAGAGTGACCCTCGCGCATCTTCGTTCTAGATACTGTAGCAGGTTAAACTCCTACTTATCCAGAATAGACCCCGACGTGCAATGAGTCTCCGCATGACACTAACCACCTCTTTGCATGCCCAACAAAGCCCACTCATCTAACACCCTTCTCCCTATGGTCCGGCCCGTCGAAACAGCTCGTTTCCTGGGCCTCCCGTTAGATGACCTCGACGACAACGAATCTGGAATTTATCACCCAAACGGGGACTAGGTAACCGTTACAACAACAACCAAACTATCACTTATCATCCATGCGGGGACTAGATAACCGTTACAACAACAATAACAAGGAAAAAACAAAGAAACATTGTTGGTAACATATACGACAATCAGCCAGCCGGTCATAAACTACGCAGCACAGAATTCTGCCGCTACAACAACAACGTGCAGCACCGATATGGTCGCATAGATGCAGTGAAAGACACCCAAAGAAGCTTGTCGGGTCAGAACACCCCCCAGTACATTCTTGCACTAACCGCCATTCACCGAGGAGCCATTAACACCTTCAAAGATTACAATCCGCCCATGTGCAATACTCAGAGTTCTAAGTGACACGTGTACCAAGTTTTATTAATGATATTCAAATTGTGTCCAGTTATCTTTTAGATGTATGGAGAAACAGACATCTGAAATTTAGTTCGTCCGTCTTTTTTTACATATAATTTATTGACCGCATAATTAGAAACTATTTAGTTTTAATAATTTTGATTTCTGGGCATTAATTATTAGTTTTAATTTAATTTTTTTTTCGCAAATATTTCAATGCAATAAACGGACGGACTTATACCATAAATATATATCGGGGAATCTATTCATCTTGTCACTCGATATACACAACCTTATTTATTATTATATCTCCACTAGTTTTAGTTGGTACAAAAATTTGTCAAATTAACTTAATTATTGTTCTCGACTGCAAGTCATAATTTATCAATAATTCTTCTGCCAACTATAATGATACATTCTAAAAGAAATAATATTTATAGTTACAAACCTTTGTTTTATATTGATGCCACCTTCAATCGGAAATGGCATGCTATTTGTCAATTGTGACAAAGAATTTTCTGATGTTACGGTCAGCAAAGGAACTGGAAAGTTATTTATATCGATCGATGAATGTGAATTCGAGAGTAAATTATTATCCATATTTACACAACCATTGTAGCTCAAGGTGAATCTCTTGTTACGATAAAAATTTTTTTCATCCAAGATTTGAACCTCACTTAGATAAAGAAATATCTGATGGATATTTTCAAGTGTCAAACTCATATTACAGCGCAGTCCTATAATATCGTAACAAAGCTGAGCGATATTTTGATTTAGCAAAAATATTCCGTATTTTACTGCCTTCGATGGTATAATAGAGCGATTATAAAGAGGAAATCTAAGAATGAAATGTAAATAAGCTATATAAGAAAATTATGTAAGTTACTACCTACTCTGAACACGTAAACGGAATCTCTTTTATGATATCAATTATTCGGGAGCGGGAACCTTGATGTATTATTGCATTTCTAAAATCGAAATATCAAAGTTTATTGAAATATTGTAGTTACAAATTTAAAAAATGAAAGAGGGTAAAACATAAATGAAAACATTTTATTTTTTGCTATAACTTTTTAAACGATCATTTTTTTGCTAGTAATCTTCGATGTAATTTACCTTAAAGGGCGGTTGAATATAAAAGCAATCATCTGCACTAAATGAGCAATGTAACCCAGTGAAACACTCAAAGTAATAGGTAATATATTATCCGAACTGCTTGTATTATGTGACTTAGTATCATTAATCAATACGTCTATACTTGGAAATGGTACGTTGTTGATAGTATTGAAACCATTTGTTTTTGTTTCTATCGGATAAATTTCACGTAATCCCACACACAATGCTGTCATTCTCCGTTCTATATTTTGTATGATATCCACCTTTTTTAGTGTAAGAAAATATATCTCCTGGTATTGCTCTACCAAATTTTTTTTTTCGCCTTGCAACTGTTGATTACGAGATTGAATAGAAAGTTGAAGCCGATGGCGGATTTCATTTAAAAGGCTTAAACGGTTTGTTTTTTGACTTAAACGAAGTGAAAAACTTCTTTGCTCAGATTGGAGGAGACGTTGTTTCAATCGCAAGGATTCTATTTGTTTCTTCAATTTATGAGCACAAAATAAAGTTTTTGGACTCATTTGACGTTGCTCGGAAAATAACTCACTTAATGCTCGACCCATGGTCGTTCTTTGAGAATTCCTTGTGAATGAGTTTTTAAATGAGTTTAGTGGAATGGAAAGTTGTTCCTTTGTGATACACAGCATACATCTCCGTTGAATTTCAATAGTAAGATCTTCGCTTTCTCTTACTTTTTGTATACATCTTCGTTGTATTTGCTGTAGTTTCAAAAGCTGTTGCAAACTATACCCATTACGTACGTCATCCCTTTTATAGTACATAATTATATAACGTGCAGTCACATGGTGTCTGTAAAAATCTGCAGTTTCTTCTTCAATATTATTTGTATTTGATGACTTTAATCGACTTTCAGCGTAATGTGGAAACACTTCATTCTGAAGTTGGAAATTGTCACTTACTGTTATGTCCGAATTTATATGTTTTGCTGAGGTAAAGCATCCTCCGTTTATATAGAAAAGCAAAGAGTTTTCCTTTAACTTTAAACAGTATTGTTCACTTAATGGCGTTAGACCAGAAAGATATATTCCCCAAGTAAAAAGAAGTTTATATTGCGGAATTTTTTCCTTATCATCGTGGGCACACCTTCCTTCATTTGACAAGGCACTGCAAACATAGACACATTTTCATAAAAGTTTGCTAAACATACATAGATATAAATTACCTTAATGGCTTCGTATTTGCATTAGCAATTTGTTGAACGTAATCGTTATCCAGTAAATTAATTATAAAGTGTGCCCACACTTTGACACAAACACATTGGTCATTGGCCTTAAATATTTTAGGACATATAATTTCTGCCCAATTTTGATCCTGTCGATGGGGCAAACATTCGCTTGTATAAAAAGCATCTTTTTCGACAGTTTCATGCAGTGTGTAATATATTAAAGCGCCTGACTCCTCGCATTTTATATTTTTACCTTCTATTCTAATAAGGTTTCGCAAACGAAGCTGCTGAGTAGATAGTGGGAGCCAAGTACGGCACCTGGGTCGAGTTCTCATATTATTATCTCCAATTTATTTTATTAATATTGTTTTTAATGCTGCACAATAATTACATTTCTAAAATAAAGTTTATATATCCCCTGGTATGATGATTTCATCCATGATAAGGGAGTAGCGAAATTCCCATTCACAATAGTTTCGTCACCTCTGAGGCGTACGTTCACAATAAAACCAACATGGCGCCCACCGTGAGTTAGGGTGGTGAGGGGTTATAACGGGTTCCGCGTTGCAGAAAACGCCTTTATAAATATTTTAAATTTTGGATATTAATTGATGTTAAAGCTAACAATATATGATATTATACCATGTTGATATAGGTTAATATGCGGCATATTTTTGAGCATATTAAGTAACTTATTAATAGACAAACTTAAATATAATTTTACTATGAGTGGAGGGGAAGAAATAACTATTGTAACAGAATTTGATATTAGAAGTAATAATAATTGATATAATCAAAAAAGCAATACCGATCATTGTCATACAAGTAATAATAATTCATATAAACAATTAAGTAAAATCTATCATTGTACTTATGTCAAAAAAATAGTTACTTTGACGATGTTTTTTCTAATTTAAGTATAGATTTATTTAATCACAAATTTTATTTACGTTTTATAATTTCTTTTATCAATTTTTCAGCATTTAGCGTTGGATATATGTACAATATTTTATTACCACTCTTGACATAAAAACTTACCATATTATTATATAGTTCTTAGTTTAGTTTTTAAATATATTGACTTGTAAAATAAATTATTTGTTGAAGTTACAATATCTTTATAGTATTTACGCTAGGCATACAAGGTAGCTGTCGCTGTATTTCAGTATGTAACGATTATGATATGTACAATATTTTACATATAACTCTTTACATAAATAAATTACCATATTATTATATAGTTCTAAGTTTAGTTTTTAAACATATAGAATCCTAAATAAATTATTTGTAGAAGTTGCATCTTTATGGTATAAAATACGGTAGATATATTTCTTTTTAAAAAGTAATTTAAAATTAGCTTACGCAACACTGTTACGCAATGCTCAATAGCAATTTTTCTTTATTTTTTATTTATTTATTATATATAATTTTGTTATTTAGTTTTAAGGTATATGGGTGAAAATAGGCATCCTGGGGAACCGAACACCAAAAAAAAATCAGTAACGCGCCTAGTTGCATACCTCTTGGTGGTGTGGAAAATGCAAATAGAGGTGTTGCAAATGGTGAATTTGCCCATGATTCTAACTTTTGTTGGTGGTGAGCACTGTAATACCGGCCACATATTAGCTTTAAAAACAATTAGATGCACACTAAAACATTTACTTTGATAAAAGCAATTTGATCGTAGGAGTATGGTAATTTTGTATCATTTACAACGTAATATTTCTTTCTCTTCACTGGAACATATTTTTTGCAATTTCACTTTCCAAATCGTTCTCAATCCAAATTTAAATCACTATGTACGCAATCTAAAGCATCAGGGCGTCTATTAATAATATTACATGTAATGTAAATTTCATCCCAAAGACACCAAAACTTTTTATAAAATCCTTCTAAACCAAAATGTACATTATGGGCGGGTTAAATAAGTTTATTATTTTCTACAGGTTTCCTGGAAAAAAATAATTTTAGTTATTATTTATTATTACTTTATATGCACTAATATACACCTGCTTATTGATAAAAATTCTTGTGTGAACAGTTCTATCAGGAGCAATATTAAATATTCACTATTTTACGAAGATTGTTAAATTTATAAACCTTGCCCTTTCGTTCTATAAGTATATTCTGCATCCCGTTATTTGACATGGTTGCTTAATTGCACCTTACATATTACTTAATTTACCACAGTTTAAAAAAGGCATAAATATACATATATCGTAATTATTCTAGAATTTGACAATAATAGCAGCTCCTTTAAGAACATATATTAAAATAAACTGATTTTATTTCGAAAGCATATTAAAGTTTTACTCATAACCAATTTTTTGGACAACTTTTTCATAAATTAAATGAAAATAGCAAGATGCAACCATTTTCCGGTTAAAAGTTGGCCATCTTGGCTGTCAATAGAAACTCAACCCCTAGCCGGACTTGACGTTTCTCCATTTATCCCTCTCAGCTGTAGCTTTGTTTACATCGATCAGCTGATTCTTTCTCTACTCCCCTCTACGATGATATATACTTCTTAACCCATCTATGAAAAAACATTTACTAAACAAATCAAAAGTCAATATACAAACCAGAGATAAAGGGACGCCCAACTTATTACAGTGTGAGAGCGATTCAAAGCGCGTTTATCCATTGTAGCCAGATCGGACAAAATAATAACTTTTGGGAATTTAAATTAAAATAACCAGCATTCATTAAGATTAGATATTATCATACATATATCCGTTAAACATATGAAGAGAGTATTTAAACCCGTTTTTGGGGTTTTGTAATATATTAAAACAATTGATTTTTGAACTTTCTAGCTCTCAATTAATAAATGTTTTGTATCATTTTCAATTGAAACTTAATAATACTAAGCATGGCATCACAAAGATTTCATCACATATATTTCAATTTCGCGTTTTCTTTCATTTTCACTGTTTTCCCATTTTCGTTAGTAATTTTTAACAGCAGCAACAAATCTCTCTGTTCACATATGTTTTTGTAGGATTTCCGTCTCATTTTTCCAATTTCCGTTTAGCAATTGCGCTCTCATTTCCAGTGAGAGATGAGTTGGGCTCAGTTTATCTCTCTAAAAGTAAAATTTTAACATTTGAAATTTAAAACAATCTTTGTCTTGATAATTAAATATTAACTAAAAGAAAAAACTTTGTTTTTCTAATTACAATACTAATAAGGCTATAAAAAAGCATTATTTTAAAGATTTGATATTATGTTAATTGGAAATTTTAGGCAACGTTTTAGCCCACTACTAGGCTATTTGCATTTGATATGCATACCTACTTATGTCTGCATGTTAATATTTGAATAAATATTATACTTTAAGGAAACAGTTTATATTCACTTACGAACTCTTTTTCCGTGAGGCCCATATTTTAGAGATCATGTTATTGATTTCAAGTTTATTAAAAATTTTTCTTTGCGTACTTTATGACATCTTAGTTTAAAATGTAAAAAGTAATGAAAGAGGGTTTTTTATATTTTCATTACAACCCGACGTACTATGTTCATATAGATATTCTAAAACGGACTATAATTTCCATTAAGACTCGCAGCTTATTCAATCTTTAGTCAATTGAAATGTTTTTTTTTAACTTTTATACAAAAATGTATCTACATTTAGATCTGCTAATTAACTACAAAAGTATTATTTTTACTTCTTACATAAATAATAAAAATGCAGAAGAAAACAAGAACTTTCCTTTTCAAAAGTATAATTCCTGTGTTGAAATAAATATATTTTTTAAATTACTTGTTATGTATATGGTGGTAATGCATATCTGTATTCATATTTTCAAATAGTCAAAATTTTACCTAGCTCTGGAGCTGGATAAAATTCTGACAATTATGTCAACAACCTATGGCACGGGTTGGCTCCCGCAAGCAAGTGCCCTGTAATCTCCATTTCACAAATAAGCAGAATTACGAGTAATGTTACCGTTAGTGGATGATGTAGACGCGCATACTGACTGTGGATTCGGCCGCATCACATTCCATAATTCGATCTGATTTGGGTAATAAAAAAGTAAGACCATTAGCTGGGGCAAAGGTGCGTACTGCAACTGGAGAAGATATCCAAGTTCTCGGAAAAGTAACGTGCGAAATCATAATAAGAAAGGCAGCCGTGTTACACAATTTTATGATGAGAGATAACGTCGACGAGGTCATAATTGGAGTAGACTTTCTAACGAATCAAGGAATCAAAATTGAGATGGAGAACAGGATTATGATCTATACAAATATGTAAGTGCCATTTATGTTCAGTTATGAGAATAAGTACAACGTTAGATGAGTGATAACAACAGAGAGGCAGTACAATCTTCGATGAATACCTTAAGAGGTTTTCCAACGTATAGCTAGCGCTGATCTAAAGCTGAGCTCAAACAAGTGCTCCCTTTTCAAAAAGGAAGTGAGCTACTTAGGACAATAAGTGACAACGGAGGACGTTTGCACAGCTAAAGAACAGATAGTGGCAGTAAAAGACTAGCCGATTCCTAAAAATTTACATGAGTTTCGGAGTTTCCTTGGACTGTGTTCTTATTATCGACGATTCGTTCCAAATTTAGACAGCGTAGCTAGTAGCCTCCATGAAGTCACAAAGAAGAATAGAGTTTTTGAATGGAATAGTGGGTTGGAATAATAATAATAGGAAGTGGGTTGCTAAACTCTAAAGAAACGGTTAAGTACTGCGCCAATGTTAGCATACCCGGTCCCACACAATAAGAAAGCCAGAGAAAAATTATTGTTGGTGAAGTGCATCAAACATTTTCATAAGTACCTTTATGGCCAGCGATTTCGGGTGAGGACAGATCATGCAGCATTAAAATGGCTTCTAAAATTCTGGACCCAGAACGAAAGTTGACGGTGGATTGAGAGACTCCAATGTTACGACTTTTCTATAAAACATCCCAAAGGTAGTAGTCATGGAAATGTCTATGCCATGACCCGCCGTCCCTGTAATTTGGAATGCCAACATTGCTCAAAGGCGGAGACTAAAGAAGACATTATCGATGTATGACTATAACATCAGACTGGGATCCGGAGGAGTTATGTAAATGTCAGAAAGAAGGATTGGAGATGAATAAACGTCCAACGAGCTTCAAAAAGCCTAGTCGCAAAGGCTTACTGGGCACAAACAAATAGTTAAAGATAGTGTCTGACTTCTTGCCTCGCGTATGGGAAAGCACAGAAGGGCAAAGCTCCCGAGCTCTGATGATTGTTCCGAAAGTAAGAATTCCAGAAGTTTTCAATGAGATGCACAACGGTCCAAGTGGAAGACACATAGGTGTCACTAAAACCTTGGAGAAATTAAAATTTTATTTGGTTGGTTGTCGTCAACCATTTACGGAGCGGATCGCCAATTGTGTCGAGTGCAATGCGGCTAAAGGGCCAAGATCCAGGAGTCATGGTCAGATGAAGGTGTACAATTCAGGTGCGCCGTTTGAGCGAATTGGCATGGAGGTAGCTGGTCCAAACAAATTTTTTTTGTTCTCATGGACTATTTCAGCAAATGACAGAGGTATACGCAACTCCTAACTAAGAGGCAGGAACAGTAGCTGATGTA